CGTCGTGTGCCGTCACTATAAGGGATTAGAGTATACTAAACTTTACATATTATATAGGCTACCCTAACATGATGTTTAGGTGGATCGTTTAACTATAATACATGATGCACGTTTTTTGGGGGTGGTTAATGAGAGTGTTCCAAAACGCGACATTAATTTCTTGATGACCTAATACAATTATGTAATATTTTAAGAGTTAATTTAGAGCCAGAATTAGTAAGGTTATTAATATCTTTTTATAATGCAGCATATATAGTTATGAATTGAAAAACTATTTTTGTTTTAAGTAAAGAATTAACATCTATAGTAAAAAAAACTATAAATTCTTGTGAATGTGAACAGATCATACTTAGTAGCAATTCCTGTGTGAACCCCGGTCATCTGTAACAATGCCAACCATGTGTTCTGACTGCAGACCATGCTCCAGCATCACCTTCCTAATCTCATCATACACCCTGTCTGCAGAAAGTTCAGACACGACTTGGAATTTCATATCCACCCCTATAAATATTGTTGCATCTCTGCTTATTTGTTAATTTCCGGTATAAATTCTTTCGGAGAAACTTCAGCAATACAAGTCCTTTCATGATTAACCCAGTTTATTCTTTCTCGATACAAATTTTAGTAATACATAGAATTTCCACAGTCACTTTAAACTTAACCTTTATAACACACACTATATATCACAGCAATTCATAAACTTTACTTACGGTGCCTACTGTTCGCTTGACTCAATTATCTATCTCTCCATTGCCGCTGGTTTTTCTCACCAGGCTTATATACTAAAAATAGGGTGTTTCAAATGCACTCAGGCCTTCATGATCATTCGAGAAATTTCACACATGCTACCTGCGCCAAATGCACCAGCAGCGTCACGTGACTTCCACTGTCGTAACAATATGATATACACAATAACAATAGACAGGTTTGAGTTACCTGTCACCTCATCAGCAGAAATGGCAAAAATATAAAAGGTGCCTTCTTGTCATTCTTTCATGTTTTCTTCTCTCACCACTGTGGCAAGAGCTTTGTATGCATCATTAACAGAATCATTATGCTGGTAGTGGCTTGATGTTTCTGTGTGCAGATGTTTAAATGATGTCACACCCTGTCAGTAAAAAAAAAAAAGAGACAAAACTGTACCTAGTATATCAGAGTAAAATTAGACCAATTTCTTTCATAGCAAACTAAGTCTATATTAATATAGTTTACATTTAATGAGTAGATTAGTGTTTTTGAACCAATTAATGTTTCATACAATAAAATATGCTGCAATGTCATTGGTAATATTATGAGTGTGGTATTTCATGAAGTAGTTTTCAAAATGCAGATTTAACTTGCATTGAAAATCTGAATGAAAGGAGTATTTTTGGATGTTGGTATGCCATCCCTGGCTGGGGTCAGAACAGTGGCATCTTTTACACTGGAATTCACAGTGGCAACTTTCATGTGTCGTTTTAACTTTGGCTGAATAGCAGCATCACGATGATCAACTGTCTCTTCATGCTTCATCAAATCATCCCTTTTTGGCCTGTCAAAATCTTTGCCAACCGTAAAGATGTTGTTATTTTTTTGCTTCAATGCACACAGAGCATTTCAGCAGGTTGTCCGTCACTATCAACCATGTAAAGTCCTTGAACCACTGTGCCTTAACAGTTCTCAAGTGGTCACAAGCAAACTTCTTTTCTGCATGAGTGGATCGTTATCATTACTGTTTTTGTCTGGAACTGGCAGGAAAAAAACAAGACGATATTGGTTTGATTTCTTTTGAATTTTGTTTTGCTGCAGCCTTGGATGCCATCTTTATGGAATTCAGATTTCACCTTAGTAAGACTATCTATGATTGGATAAAATTACCCTTTTGGCATCTCAAGAAAAATGTTCCCACGTAAACAATAGATAACCTTAGACATGTGTATGATGCCTGTTCTACACCAGCAATGCAGTAAAAACAGTGGAGAGGGTGATTGGGAAATTAAACCACAAAAATATTAAAATGTGTTGACAAATCATTGGGTGGTCTTAGTATTATATTTTTATTCTCAATGAAGATGACAAACAACTTCAGATAAAAGTTAATTTATTCAACCCGATGTTTGGGCTTACACCTTTTGAGGGTCAATGAACGTCACAAATTGATTTTAAGTTACGGTAACCCAAAAGAAAATAGAACTACAACAGTATAAAAGAACAATACACGTTAGGCATGCTAAAGATATTGTTAAATGGGTTAGACTCACTGATCATAAGAGTAAAAGTTAAAAATAAATAAAGAAAAGAAAAATTCTAAAAACGTATTATAGGGGCCAGGCATTGCACCTGTCAATGGAGGGCATCTGGAGTGAATCAAAGAGATTCCTTAAGTTTTTTGTTAAGAAAACTGTCACAAGTCTCTAAAATTTTTATTTAATTAGGTATCTCATTGATTGTACCATGTGCTTTAATGTGATTTTCAGCAGTGGCATTTTTTGTTGTCAAAATTACTTTAAAAAGTAATAATGAATTTCTATTCACTTTTGTGGTGAATTTAGAGTCACCACACTGAGTTTAGTCTCGCATTTGCAAGTGTGGCGGTCAGCTAGCATGAGCAGAGATATTAGTACATTTTGACAGACTATAACTTGTTAAAAACAAAACGTTATTCTACGTAATACAGTGCCAATAAGTGCAAGTTTCTTGTGAAACTTGAACTATTTTGTGAATAATAACTATGAACAAACTAGAAACCTTGACAGTACCTGAAGCCGACGACAAACACGCTTTAATCTCAAGTCTTCCTGAAGATGGAACAAACAAGCTGAGCTAGCCATTTGTTCAAAGCCAGATGTAATAGTCATTTCAAAGAATGACACCAACAACTTATCAAACTGTGACCACTGTAAGTAAGCAACACCATTCTGTAGTTCCACCTCTCTATTCCTCACAAAGTCCAGGGCACAGTAAAATGGAACTATACACAGCAAAAAAACACCAGTAATATATATACTATAATAATGATTGTTGGTTCACACTAACCTTTGAACAAAGTTCAAGCAGATAATGAAAGAGAAAAACTAAGCATAAATGCATATTCTTAACTCTTTAAACCATTAATTGTTTGCACATTCTTCCAGAATTATTTTCATGATTTCCTAATAATTATCACCATACCCTATAAAATTTCAAATTTCTTAATATTGTGGATAATAACAGGGTTTGGATTACTTTTCAGCCAAAGAGACATAAATGTTGTCAGAAACTGTCAAAGCAATTTTTTGGCTAGATGCAAGCAGTGTCCATTCAAGTTCAAGGAGTTAAGTTTGAAACATCCTTATTTCCAGGAACAAAGCAAATGTACTTCCAGTTTAACCTGATTTGTCAACTAGTTCATATTTTAAGGAATAACAAGTCTCTTAGCTTCAGATATCAAAGAAACTTCACACAATAAAAGGCTTAACCCAATGCATACAGCTGGGTCAAAGTGCACGTCACAACATTTTAGAGAATTACATTCAAAATTTAATTAAACTTTATTATCACTATATGTCAATAAACGTAAAACAAAATGTAGTTTTTATATTATCAAAAACTTAATTTCTTAATTTTAAAAGGATATATTCAAAACATTCTTAAGCTTCACTTTTCTGTGTCAGGTATGTGAAAATAAAATTTGAACCTTTTACCTTCTCAATTTGTTGAAATACCAATAAATATGGCAAACCCACCAGAGAAGCCCCTCCCGCATATTCTATCTTTTAAAACAATTATACATGTATCACCTCTATATGTCTGATTAACATGTTTATAGCCAGCTGAAAGAGAAGATTATCCTGTGCATAAAACTTATTATGGTTGTTTCTTTTTTTGAGAGGCATACATAGACAGTTGAGTTCAGATTCTCTGATCGTCGTTGTTCAACTCTGAGCAGATAACAGAGTTCTTTTAACCTACTCATAACTTACTTCGAAAGTTATGTTAATTATAGTAGTTTTGGAACATTTTATTTTAGTGGCTTATATATTTTTGTGTTCTAAAATTCATATTTAAAAGCCATAGAAATTATGTTTTGGTCAACAAACTTAGTGAGAAAAAATTTAGGTTAAATGAAAACTGACCTATGAAAGCAAAATATCTGGGACACATAGTGAGTGCTAAATTTCTTACCATTTATTTACAAAAGTAACTAAAATGTAAAAAAATTAGAAACTTTTAACGTAGGTCACAAACTCTGAATAAAATAATAATCATTTGAAATTTCACAAGCTCATTCCATGGGAAATATGAGCTCATTGTGACTGTAACCTATCATTTGTTTACCCTAAGCTCTACTAGAAACATCTAACTGGACTCCTGCTATGATTCATTGTTTTCACATGCAGTAGTGGCTATAAAAGAACAGCCAATAAAACCATAAAATTAAAAGAAATCAGATGTGAAAAAGTTAGAGACCCAGGTTGTTAGGATAAATAACTATAATCATGTGTTACCATTTGCAGTCTTTCTATAAAAAAAAATTATATTAATCATTATATTTCACATTTCAAATCTATTAAATGACTCGTTTACATACACTGGTGACTCCCTTACAGCCACCAGACAAAATAAACACAGACAGTGTATTATAATACTGTTTCTTTCATTTTTTGTATAACTCTGGGCAACTGTCATTTCCATCTATATAAATGTTTACGTATTATACTATCAGACTATAAAGTAAAGAAATTCATACTTCCTTTAAAAAACTGATTCTTGCAAAACAGAAAATTTATCGAACATTCATGACATCCTTTATCACACTTGTCCACATTCTACCAGCAAAACTATCACTTGCCAGATGTATCAATTATGCTGTTACCATATTCAACAGTCTATGTTCTACACTGCACACTGATTGACATTTCTAACAAAACTGTCCATTACCACAAGTATAAGTCACATGCCACCATATTCAACAGT